TTGAGAGATGATATAGCACGAGCAGAGCCTTGAGGAGATATTATCTACAAGATGTTATCAGGAAGCTCCCCTCAAAAACCCAAGGCCTCTTCCATAAAAAAGGTATCTTGCTTTGTTTTCTCTTATACTTTCCTCCCAGTCCAGTGTAACAAATACCTTCCTTCTTCATTTCCAAGACAATTATTCTACCGTGTTTTAGATTTCATTCCTTCATAGGATCTGCAGCATTTAGACTAGTATAACAGTAGATATTCCCACCCTGAGTAGATATTCCCACTCATTCCATACCCAGCCAAAGCTTGTGCGTGTGTGTGTTTTCTCTTCCTATACTGGTTTTTGTTTTGTCTACTTTCCAAGTATTTGTTACCTTCAATAACCAGTTTATCCTGGATTTAGTAGTTCATTCTTTCATGTATTAAACATTTGGTTATTTTTACATTAAAAAATTAATATATAACATACATATGGAAAATACATGATTATGATCATAGAGTGACAAATTATGCAAGTGAATGTGTATCAATATAACCACCACTTCAGACAAGTAATAGAAAATTACTAGCACCCTTTCTGCCCTTTCCCAATCACCAGCCTCTTTGTTTTCCCCCAAAATAAACACCATCTTGATTTCCACCTCCATGAATTAATTTTGCCTGTTTCTGAGCTGCATATAAGTAGAACCATACAGTATTTATTATTTTGCCTTTTTTGTTTTTTCTCAACTTTATGGGATGTATCATCCATGGTATTGGATATAGCTGATGTTAGTTCATTTTCATCACTGTGCTGTATTCCATTGTATGGATATATTTTATATTATATATTGCTTATTATTATAAATAAAGTGTCCTTTCTGCAATTGACAGTTGGGTCAGTTGGGTTGTTTTCCAGTTTTTAGCTATTTTATATAATGCTGCTGTAAATATTCTTTTGTTTTGGGGTGAGAGGTAATTAGGTTTGTTTATTTATTTTAATAGAGGGACTGGGGATTGAACCCAGGACCTTGGGCATGCTAAGTGCACACTCTACCACTGAGCTATACCCTTCCCCTGTTCTTGTACAGACCTTTTGGTGCATATATGTACACATTTCTTCTGGGTGTATATCTAGGAGTGGAATTACTGGGTAATAGGAA